CCTCGATCATGGGCCGCGCCGTCTTCCAGCGGTGTAGTGCTTGATCTCGGGGTGCCTCTTCAGCATAGTCTCGAAATCGGCACGCAGCTTGGTCAGCCTCTCCTTGGCACGCTCCTTGTCGTGCACAATCATGTCATGGCAGTACTTCTCGAATGCGGCCTTGCGATCCTTGGGATCCTTGATGGCGCGGTATTGGGGATCCTTGGCGATTGTTCGCAGCGTCTGCTCCCAGTTCCAGTCGGGCTGGACACCGCTGCGCTTCAGCAGCTTGAGGAAGGCGGCTTCAGCCTCCTCAAAAGTGGCGTAGTCGGGGTCGTTGCTGGCGGGGACGAAGGCCTTGGCAGCAGGGTCGCTGTTGTAGGTCAGCTGGCGCGACTCAGGGAGAGCGTCTCGGTCGTCGCGGTAGCGGTCGTGACCTGCGTATCTGTCTCCACCGTTGTGTCTGTCTCCGCCGTTGTGTCTGTCTCCACCACCGTTGTACCTGTCGCCTCCTCCACTGTATCGATCTCCGCCGTTGTAAGGAGCGGCAGCCGGGGGCGCGGAGGTGTCGGTGGCGCCAGAGGCTTGCTTGTAGGCCTCGGGCATCTCCCACGAGCTCTGCTTCGTCTCAGTGTTGTACCAGTACTTGCGGCCACCCTCAGCCGTGTATTCCTTCCATGGCTGGTTCGCCAGAGCGCGCTATAGCCATGTCAGCTTACCAGTCATGGAATGCGCCGGCGCGTCCATGCAACGCACCTCGGCAGCCGTCATCATATCCTCGGGCTTGGTCCACTGGGTGACCTTGGTGGCAGCATTGTAATAGTAGAGTCGACCATCCTCGGTCCGATGCTCCTGCCATTGCGCAGGTTGCCCGAACGGGGTCCCAACGCTATTCATCGTGTGACGGTGCCGATAGGTGGCGGCGATCAGGCGCTCTTCGGGTCAACGATGCGATCCGTTTTCCCAATAGGATGTGCCACGACGTACGGATGGCTGGGTGTCATACGACGTTGTCGCGGTTGGAAGAGCGTGGGTGGGTGAAGCAAACGAATGTTGGCGCGGCTTTGAGTTGCAGGCTACCGAGAATTTGAGAAGGGCCCAGAGCCGCGAGTCCAGGGCCGAAAAAAGGCCAAAGCCCAGAGCCTTGTCAAAGTGCACGGGCCTCGTCTAAATGGACGGTGGATCTGACCATGTACTTACATAAGGCATACTTACATAAGCCAGCGCTGCTCAGGCTCAGGGGACGTCTTCCTTCACGTTTCTGGCCATCTTGCCTCTGACTTCAGGTGTGTAAAGCAAACCCTGATATCAAAAATCAAATAAAAGCATCTCAGCACATCTAGTCGATTGGGTATCCAAGTGTATCTTTAGCTCGCTTATCTGTTCGAGGGCGCCTCTTCTCACAGGCCGACCTCTTCACATATCGCCTTGCAAGTCTCACGTGACGCCGACCTCACCGATCTCCCAACTTGACTCTGAGAGCACACATCTGAGGCTGTCGTCAGAGGATGCGCTCGGCTCAGGCCGCCCCTTGACTCGAAAATGGCTGAGGACGAGGGTGGCCTTCGGTCAAGTCCAAATGGAGTCTCGGATTTTGTTGAGCACTCATTTCTCAGTTACATCATTCCCCAGGCAACGGACCTTGACCTAGAGGAACTCTCTACAGAAGCTACCGATACGGGATCAGTGTTTGACACGATAGAGCAGCGCAAGACTCTCTTCTTTGGTCTGTAGGTCACTCCTTGGGCACCGTTGCGTAAAGGCTGATGTTCGGGCAGACGAAACGGTGGACGTGCACATCATTCTGCGCACACCGCTTGCCGATGAGACGACTCTCCGCGCCTACCTGTCAAGGCTGCACATCTCTCTCGAGGCACAGATCGTCAACAGCCAAGCGCAGGATCGAGATGGACCCCCGGCGTCTGACACCATCTTTGAAGGTGTGGTGGAGGAAACAGACGACCCTTTTATCGTAGTCGACGCCGCCGAGGAGAGTGACAGCGACGACGAGCAGAGCCAGCCACATGTCTATGCTGTCTGGAAGCTGCCCGTCTTTCTCTCGAGGCCACGCATCAGGTTGCAGGGTCCCACTGTTGTTTTCCGCGCTTCGGCAAGCCTGAAGCCCGATGACCAGTCCACAGCCGTCGGCGAGAAGGCCGGCTACCTTCGAAGCGGCGTGCCCGCGGGCTTTAACCTGCTGGATTCTCTCTACGGCGACCCGGCGCTCCAAGGCGTGGCCCCCAAGCTCTCGGCGTTGCGTGTGTCGCGCGTCGCTCCCGTGACGCAGACGAAGGAACACATGCAGCCTATTCGAACGCAGTCCAGTCTCGAGATCAACGTCTTCCCGGCGATACACACGCGCGTACGCTTCTCCAGACCCAACACCATCCCCACGAGCGCCGCCCTGATTGCGCTGCTCGAGATCGACTTGACACCGCATTTTGACTGCAAGGCCACCATCGACAGCATCAAGCTGTCTGTTCCAGACGGTACCATTGAGAACCTCAACGAACAGTCTGGCTTGACGCTGCCCATGACGTGTGTCGCCCACGATCACGTCACGCTCCTCTACCGCCTGGCCCCAAAGCAACTCGAGATGACGACAAAGATTCCGACACGCGACCTCGACATCACAATCGAGGGTACCATACACGCCATCCCCGGTGTCTGCACGCCCGAATTGACTCTCTCCTGGTCTACGCTTCTCGACTTTACCCTCCCCGTCAATCCCGGCTTTGGCTCTGCCCCGCAGGCCATTCAACGCGCCCACCGCCCGTCCCAGCTCTCCATAGGCGGCTCCGAGATGGCGCAGTCTCTCACCGCCCCGGCCGTGAGCCGCCCCGACGCCCTGCCGGCCCTCGAAGCCGCGACATCGCGCACGACAGAAGCCGCCATCCCCGAGCTCGGCCTCACCATGACTTTCCGCGCACCACCGGGGCCCCTCTACCCCGGCGAACCCTTTTCCTGGACCGTCTACGTCGTGAACCGCGTCCCCGAGACGCCAGCCACGAGCAGGAACAGCGCTGGAAACGCCGCTGCCGCCGCCGCCGTCGTTCCGCCGCGCAAGCTCGCCCTCGTCGCCATCCCCAAGCGCCGTCGCAACGAGGCCCGCTCCGTGCGCCCACCTTCGACCTCGGGACGCGGCAAGACGCTCCTCGACGCGCGGCAGACGGCCGACGCCGTCCTCGACGAGAACGTCGTCCACGCCATGCAGCGCAGCTCCCTCGTCGACGCCACAGAGGTCCTCTGCCTGAGCGCCGACACGCGCGTCGGGCCCCTGGCGGCCGGCGCCTGCCACGTCGTCGAGCTCAAGTTTGTCGCGCTGCGGGCGGGCATCGTTGGCGTTGAGGCCATTCGCGTCATCGACCTCGGCACGTCCGAGCACGTCGACGTCCGGGACCTGCCTGTCATGGTGGTGGAGGAGGAGGAGAAGGGGCGAGCGCCCTCTAGGACAGAAAGTTGCGCGTGAAGCATGATTTTGGTCACGATGCGAAAGTATAATTCTTGGGTATAGGATAGCTACCTAGCTAGGCCGCCCCCGCCCCCTCTTTCCATTCACGCACATTGACAAATGTCCACTCTGAGCGTCCGCTTATGCTGTCCATCCTGATTGTAATGATGCCTGGTATCCATATCACCTCCCGAGACCCCTAAAGCTAGCAAGCCAAACCGACAGTCCTCCCTGTGCATGTCAACAACACGAATACGCCAGCCCAGTGCTGCCTGGTCCTGCTCCTATCCAGGCCAAACAAATTTCTCATAACAAGTCGTCAAAGTCGTCATCCCATCCCAATTTCTCGTAAATCGAAGAAGCCTTCTTCTCCGCAGGCGCAGCCGTCTTCATGACAGGTGTCGCCGCGATTTCGTCTTCCGGCAAGCTGAAGGACGTGGCCGCCTTGACAGGCGTGTCAAAGATGTGCGCCCCGATCGGCGACGGGGAGCGCATTGCCCGCGGCCGAGGTTGCGCAGGGGTCGTCGCAGGCACCCTCGCCATGAGGGGCGAGGAAGGGGGTATGCTGGGTTCGTCATGCGGCGCACCGAGAGGCGCAGAGGCTCTCGGCCTCGAGGGTGTCGCTTTGACGGCAGACGATGAGAACGACCCGAAATAGTCGGACGTGCTCCGTCGTTTCGCTGTCGAGGGGATCATTGACGCGCTCGACGGCGGCATGAATATGGCTGGCATCTTTGCGCTGCCGCCGGCTTCGGCCAAGGCGTCGCGGAATCGGTTGTTGGCAGGCGTGGCCTTGACCTGCACCGACTGGAAGAGGGGGTGCCGAACGGGCTTTTTCGTTTCTATCATGCAATGGTCAGTCGTGGGTTCATTCTGGGACATGGAAGATGACGTACTTCTCGTGTGCGACAGGCCGCCGGACGTCCTCCGTTCCGCAGCTTCGACAACATCCAGATTGGCCATTTCGCGGTTCGGCTTCCTGAGCATGCTTATAGCGTTCCGCAGTTCGGCATCGACAATGGCCTTCTTCTGAGCCTTGACATCGCCGAGAGCAGTCATGCTGCTGCTTCTCGACAGAACCCGCGATCTCTCGGAGAGGGAGCCTGGTTCAGCCTTGGCCATGCCACTCAGGAGCGACTGATCGCTAGACTCTCGCTTGAGGGCAGGCAGCGTTGACGAGGTGGCCGACCTCATCAGTGCGATGGCGCTGCCTGGCCCCCGAGACACGCTACGGCGAGACTGTTCCTTTGCCAGTTCCTCCTGGATGCTCTTTGATGCCTTGGACGCTGATATGCTGCGCTTTGCAACTACGTTTGTCTTCGATTTTGGCTTGGAGCTTGATGAAGGTTTCGTCTGCTTTGGCTTAGGGGTGGGAATGATGACGGGCCCTCCAAGTTTTCGGTTGATTCCGTCGCACAGTTCCGGAAGGCGGGCAGCAAAACTGGGCAAGGTTAGCAGGAGCCCTGTTGTGGTGTAGCATGGTAAACTTACAACTGCATAATGATATCAGTGCAAAAGTCCTTCAAGGGGTCCGCCGAAGCCTTTTGGCCCAGCTTGGTCCCATCCGCCTGCGTCACAACTTGCGTATCTTCCAGTAACCTGAGCTCGTCAGAGGCCGTGGATTGCCAGATACACAATCGATCGGCATGCACGTCAACTAGCACCGGGAGCTTGTGTTTGTTGCGCTTCTTCATAGGCTGTGATGCAGAGCCGTCCTTGTTTTCTGTTGGTGCGAGTCCTGGCAGTTGGCTCTCCTCTTCGTTTTCCTTGGGTCGCAGAGGCTCCAGGCTCAGAATCTCCAGAATGAGAATCATCTGGAGTTGCGTCTCTCGAGTTCGGAGGAGGTCCACGTGAGAACGAATTTGCGCCGGTGTGATGCTTGCGTCCTCGTCCGCGATTTCAGGTCGATTTGCCGTCCACCATGTCCGAACAACGCTGTCCTCGGTGGGATACAGGCCATCTTTGCCGAGCTTCATCTTCTTGGGTTTCCTTTTCTTCGATTTGCTGCCGTCATCTGAGCTCTCAACATGCGTCTTCATCTTGGAGATGATGTCAGGGATCGTCTCCCTATACTTCTTATCTAATTGTACCGTCGTCATGATCTGGCTGGTCAGGTACTCGATGAGGTCGTCCATGCTGAGGTTACCATCGCAGTCCATGTGAAAAGCCGCTCTGGCGCGCGACAAAGGGCCTTTGGCAAAGTACGCCAGCGAACCCTGCGTTGGTTAGCCGGATAGCATGAAAGCAGCAACTGCAAGAGACGCCTACCTTGGACTTGTAAAGAACTTCCAAGTACTGCGCCCGGATATTGTTGTACATGTTCTCAGCCGTCGGCGAGGCCATGACATCCTCCATTAGCGCCGGAGCCAAAGCAGGGGCTGTTTCGAACACATGCGCCAGACCCGCCGTCTTCTTCTCGCCCACCACAGTCTGACTTAGAGGCGTC